CCTGCCTATGGTGATTTCATGTGACCTAGTCTGTATTTTTGCCTGAGTTCTTCCCTAAGCTTCATGCCAACTATAGAGAGCATATGCTTCACTCTGTAGACATAAAATCTGCCCTTGCCTCTTACAAGATGTTTTTTGTGTTCAGTGTAAGTCACCACAGCGCTGTACTACCATTGCCCAGAGGATGAGAGGTCTTCCCATCTCCTCTTTGTGTATCTTCCATTGGATCACTGCATACATAAGGATGTTCTATAACCTGGCATAGGTTCCACCCCTGCTGCTGATAGCCCACCCTACAAGACCACTGGCTTCTTACAGTGCATTCCTTGTGAATGTTCCAATACAGGAGATACTGAAGGCCATTATGTGAGCATCGGTACATGCTTTCATGTCCCATTATGCTTTCACATAGCATGCAAGGGATGATGCAGCTTTTACCAGGGAAGTCTTCATTTGGCTGTAGGATGAGTTCTGAACCCCTCTTCCAGGGAAACTACTAGTAAGTCATCTATTGTAATGCACGTGAGCAATCACTTGAAGAAAAAAGTTACTTATTTACCTCTAACAACTGTTGTCCTTCTCATCCACTTCTCTTCTGTCTGACTTCCACTAAGAAGGAACTGATAGAGGAGGGGGTTGGTAGTCTTATATATGTTCACATCATGGTGCCATTCCAAGGGGCTCCATAGCTGACCTGACAGATACCACTAGGGTAAAAGCTTTGACAATCATGCATGCAGTGCGCACACACGCCTGTAAGAATGGATATAAGCAACACACCTCAAAGAACAGTTACAAGAGGTAAGTAAAATATGCAAAAATCAAACAGCATACAAAAGCCTATTGGTTACCTTTCTCAACTAAACATATAATCAGACTTTTTTCCAGAAAACCGATTTTCTGTAAAATCATGGAATGAATTGTGTTCCTATCTTTATTCCTTTATCAGTGTAATCCCTATGAACTTTTTATTATTTTACTCAGAATTTGTCAGGCTAAGCGCTCAAAGCTACTAGCATCATCCTATGTGCCTCTTAGAATACTAGCACGTTAGTAGTCTACTGTTTCCCTGGTGTAACAAAATGTATTAAAAATTAATATCAGTGGCCAGAGCTCTCAGCAAACTGTTTCAGGACTTTTGAGTACAAATTAATTTTAGTATGTTTACCCCTTGTATATGGTGTTTGACTTCTTCCTTAGTTACAAATGCACTAGAACAGGGATTGGTAACTGAAGGTGCACATGCCATAAGTGGCATGTGAGCTGATTTTTCAATGGCATGCTTTGTCCATGGTGGGAGCTCAGCCCTCCCCCTTCTGGAGTCCACGCAGCTGTGAGGCTTCTGAGCACACAGGATGGGGGAAGGTGAAAGCCCTGACTCATGTCTGCCCCTTCTATCCCCAAGAGCTGCCCCAATGCCCCACCCTCTTCCACCAGGCGACATAGGGACCCTGTGCAGAGCTGTGGATTGAAATCCTGCCCCCTGCATGTGCAGACCCACAGATAGGGGGATAGGAACAGGCTGCCTGGGGCTGTCTCTAAGGAGTTACCACCACACGAGATAGACAGAGGGGCTGTAGGGGTGATGAGGCAGTGGGGGGGGATAAGGGCTGTGGGGGAGTCTAGGGGCTGGGGTCAGGCTCAGAGAATTGAGATTTTGGAGTAGTTTTTTTGCTTCTCACTTGTGTGGTCGCCAACTGGTAATTCCCCAGCCCTACCATAAATAAAGAAAATATTGAAAACTTTTGTGTTGGACATAATATTTTACTTAGTTTAACTTTCTCATGTTTATTTAAAATGAAGTTTGATAATCTGTCTAAATTTAAATTAAGCCATTCTCCCTAGCTGTTGCAATAGCAAAATGGCTCAGGCATAATTATGTAATTAACAGTGAGTTTTCAGTGGTGGTAAGTGGAAAGGTTTGCATTGAGCCAGGTGCTTCAGGGACCAAAACGTTTTGGAATGACTGTGCTAGTGTGAGTTCTGCCCAGTCTGCAGCTCTGGGGCTCGTCTGGGGTGGCTGAAGGGAGAAGAAAACAACATTGGTGGTCGCCCTGCCCCAAAACCGCGTTGGTGCCTGGGTCCCTGGCAGGAAGACAAGGGCTTCATGGACCAGACCCCTATGGGACCCTGCCCCCAGCCTTGCCCATTTCCCTGAAACCTGCCCCTTACCTCCCCACTTCCTCCCCCAAGCCACCTTGATCGTCACCTATGATGGCAATCTAATATTGTGTTTCCTGCAAGATTGTTGCCAGTGCCGGCTTCCTGAGGGGGGAGAAGCCCTGAGGCTCCATGCTGCATCCAGCTACTGGTGAAGAGTGCACGCTACTTCTCCCCTCCCCACAGGAGTTAGAGTGGAGCCCAAATGTCGCACTGTCCCAGGAGAGCAGTGCTGCCAAGTGCAAGCGGGTTAAATCTTGGTGTGCCACTTGGGAAAGGCTGCTGACCCCTGCACTAGAAAGTACTTCTTCAGCCTCATGTTACATCATACTGTTTCTTTTCAAATACAGAACATTGAGTACTTCTGCATCATTAACAATTTTTCCTAATATCTTTGGAATATCATCAAATGCACAGCACCTAGCTCCCTTCTAGGCAGTTCCACTACTAACTGTGCTGGTTGTTGAGCTCCCTACTTTTAAGTTCTGAAGCATGGAGCAAGATGCTCTATATAGGTCCCTGTGTGTCCCCTCCCCCAGAATGTTTTTTAAACATGAAAGGCAGCA